AAGAAAGGTTTCGAGTCTAGAAACACGGTAACCAAAGTAGAAGAAAAGGAAAAGTTTAGCCTAGACGCCAACGCTACACATAACAGTATCTCTCCCTCAGTTTCAAAGCTAGAGTTGCTAAAACCGACAAATCTAAATGCATTTGATATAATCTCTCTTTCAAGTGGATTTGACTTGTCCGGTTTATTCATAACAAAGGATCAGAAGGAAGACTTGCAGTTCATTTCCGCAAAGCCTACCTCTTCTATCATGTCCAAACTCGAGGAAGTTGGGAGGAATCTTAAGCTGGAAGTAATGAAGAAAGAAGCTGGTTTTATGAGATTAGAGGGATCGAGTGAAGGTAGATACGAGACTTTGTCCATCGATGCTGAAATATCTGAAATTACTCCGTCCTTCCACTTAGTTGAGCTGAAAAAGTCGTATGGTGATAAGGTAGAGTACCAAAAATTGCTGAAACAAGTTATAAGACCTGCTCTTGAGGAAATTGTTTGGGCTTGGCAAGGCGAGCAGCCAGCTAATCGTTAGTAGATGACACTAAGAAGAGCTTCTGATCTCGTAACGTTTACTCTGTAAGTTGATCTCACTTTAGTATCAGCATTTAACGTTCAACTTGTCCGTTTGGTTCTTGTTGTAATTGTCGATTTACTATGTATCAGCCTGTTTAAGGCCATCCGTCTAAGCTTAATAGAGACAACTTGTTTTACTAAATTTTCGAGTTCCTTTGATCTGCTTTCATTGTTGTTATTCATGAGTAATCCTACATTTTACTGGCTTTCTATTGCAAAGGAGACTTGCAGTAAAACGGTGATTTATAATATTTTATTCGTGTTCGTGGCTTCTTGTGTTTCGAAGGAGCAGGTGACTTGTAACATATTTCCAGATGTGTGTTGATTATTATCCTTTTGTTAGGAAATAACATTTGCATAATTTTTTTTTCTTTACAATAACAAAAACTACATACACATCACAATTTCAAAGCAATTTCAGATTTTTACCCCTATTTTTATAGGATAGAGAAGTTGTTTTTGATAGATTTTCGACTCAATACAAATGTATGAACGTAAAGGAAGGTTTAGTTATTTTATTTTTAAAAAACATAAAAACATTCTGAAAAAACTCTGAAGAATCTTATAGAATTGATAATATTTCATTAAAATATTCTTCTTTTGAAAAAAAAGGTAGTTTTGAGAAGCTAAAAGATGACTTTAAAAAGATACATCTCTAATCTGACACATAATATTGAAGAAATAGATTTCTCAATAAATTACATTAAAAAGATCTTGATACAATGAGTCGAATCATAAAATAATGATTTCTGCAAGAATACATATAATTTAGAACTGAAGTAGAAAATTAAATAAAAAAGCTCCGAACAAGATGATTGCAAAGAAGTTAAAAGCCAAGGGAATAATGAAAATTATCGAGGCATGGTGACTTTAAAATCAATAGTAGGTTGGTGGGGGTGGAGGTGAACTACAGGTGGGAGTTTTTTGGTACTTTGCTGGTGGAGGAGGTGAGGCATACGTGGGTGTTTGCTTGTAGTAGTTTGTAACTGGTGGTGGTGGTGAGCTGTAGTACGGTGGAGGGGGTGGCTTATAGTAGACTGGTGACTTCTCGATATACTTTGGAGGAGGTGACTTGTAGTAGACTGGTGACTTCTCAATGTACTTTGGTGGTGGTGGAGAGGATTTGTAATAAGATGGAGATGGTTTGTAGTACGGTGGAGGGGGTGACTTGTAGTAGGTTGGTGACTTCTCAATGTACTTTGGTGGAGGTGGAGGGGATTTATAGTAAGACGGAGACGACTTGTAGTATGGTGGAGGGGGTGACTTGTAGTAGGTTGGTGATTTCTCGACGTACTTTGGTGGAGGTGGAGGGGATTTATAGTAAGACGGAGACGACTTGTAGTATGGTGGAGGGGGTGACTTGTAGTAGGTTGGTGATTTCTCGATGTACTTTGGTGGAGGTGGAGGGGACTTTATAGTAAGATGAAGATGGAGGGGATTTATAGTAAGATGGAGATGGCTTGTAGTATGGTGGAGGGGGTGACTTGTAATAGGCTGGTGACTTCTCAATGTATTTTGGTTGGAGGTGGAGGGGATTTATAGTAAGACGGAGATGGCTTGTAGTATGATGGTGGAGGAGGTGATTTATAGTATGTTGGTGATTTCTCAACGTACTTTGGTGGAGGTGGAGGAGATTTATAAGATGGAGATGGTTTGTAGTACGGTGGAGGAGATGACTTATAGTAAGTTGGTGATTTCTCAATGTATTTTGGTGGTGGAGGTGGAGAAGATTTGTGGTAAGATGGAGATGGTTTGTAGTATGGTACTGAAGGAACATGAGACTTGTAATACTTAATTGGCGATGGGGACTTGTAGTTGTGCTTTGAAGGAGCAGGTGATTTGTAATAGTATGATGAAGAATGTTTATAAGTGACCGTTTCATGACTATTGTACTTTGAAGGAGCAGGCGACTTGTAATAGTGAGATGGAGAATGTTTATATGAATGACTATGGTACTTTGACGGAACAGGCGACTTGTAGTAATGTGATGGATAATGTTCAACATGTTTTATTGGTTTCTCGTAGTAAGAAGAGGGCACTTGATGTTTAGACGGAGAAGGCGACTTGTAGTACTTTGAAGGAGAGGGAGAAGTGTAACCATAAGAGTAATCAGCAACAACAGTGCTGGCTACTAAGCAAATTGCTAAACTAAATGCAAGTAGAGGCCAATGCCCCAATTCACCAAAGCTTCCCATTTTTTTGTATTTTGCAACCAATTCTACTCTTGAAAAGGAAGAACTAAGACTTGTTTTGTGTAGTTAATGACATTTGCTTTTATATAGCAAAATGTAAAACTTTTTTATATGTATGTATTTTTTGTGGAATGGCTTCATGGTAGCCCACTAAGATAATATTAAAGTCAAAATGAGGACTTGTTCTTTGATTACTTTGTGGAAGACATTTTCTTAATGACAAAAAAAAGTAATGGTTAAAAAGATAATCCCCTTGATAAGCATCTCTTTAAGCTAATTAACAAGTTTGCAGATTTGTGTAATTGTGGTGATATATCATATAGTTATGGTTAACCACTAAAACATTAGAAGAAGCTATAGGAGAAAGGATATTTAGACAATTAATTAACATTTTAAGTTTCATTTAGGTGTGTGTTAGGGTATGAAAGACCACTTTTTTCATTTTCGGTTGATGTTTTAGAAAATATTTTTTTTTCTCTAGAAAATCGAGGATCTTAAATGTTTAAGAACAAAACAATCGAATGATAAATGTTTACGGTTGCAATAATCAAATAAAACAAAACAAAAACATTAAAGTATAGTACGTGTTCTCGTGATAAAATGTATTTTTCAAAGCAGGTATCTGATAGAATTAGTTACGATACACGCAAACTGATCCTGGCACCACCATACGATATTTTTCATTTCAATTACCTACACCAGGACTTGGAATATCTTCATGTTGTCTATAGAAATTATCAGATCCATCATAATCCTCATTAGCCTTGATATTATTATCATTATCCTCTGAAAATATTCCATTAAATCTCTGATTAACAACTTTCTTGGGCTTTATTTCACCACTTGTTATTGGGCTGGCCCAGCCCATTACAAATTTTCCAACAAATACCAACCATAAGAACAATATTATGAATAACAATAAACTGGATTTTATTTTCTTTCTACCAGCCATTTTATTTTCTTATTGAAGAAGAAGTAGAGAATAATTTTTTTTTTCTTAGAGGTGAGCTAATACATATATATGTTTTTATTTAAACATGTTAATCATTGTAATTTTGTATAAAACATGAACATGCTAACTTAGTAATTATGTTAAGAGACATAAATTATGTTAGTGAATTATTTCATGACCTTTTGTGACAACCACACTTGATTATTGCTCAGGTAACAACATTATTATCGTACGAATAACGTAATTGCCGTAGTGGAATATATTTATAGAAGATGACTGTTATAGAGAGATCTGATCGTACGTAAACAAATTACTGTTATGATGCGTAGCTGCAGAAAACATGGGCAAAGTTAGTAACTTAGTGTAGTTTATTCAATTTTCACGTGGATTGTTGAATTTTTTTTTTTTATGTACTTGCTCTTTCTTGTTTTGTTATTTTTTAAAGAACATATGAGAATTCAATATATTTATTTATATAGCATATCCATATTGATATGCAAGTTTATCCAACTATATTTTAGTTATAATTAGTAAAAAAAAATTAATGAAAGTGTATATTTTGAATTAGATTGATTTTTTTGGAGTTAGAAGAAATGTAGAAATTAATCAAATTCAGACCCAAATTTGGATCCACCAAGTAAACTAATACCCACCCCATCTAAAAAGAACCCCATTAAAATAAATAAATAAAAAGAAAAACTTCAAGCTTCTTTTTAAAGTAAAATCCTCCCATATTGAATTTACTTATCCTTTAAATTTATGTCCAAATTAGTAAGTGAACTTAAATTTAAGTACTCTTTCGGTCTCGTATTACTTGTCCATTTTTTTTAGTCGTTCATAATTACTTGTTATATTGACAATTCAAGAAAGGACAAGTTTTCTTTTACCTATATACCCTCAATTAATTACTTTGAAAATATTGAATTTTTTTGAAAATCTTAAACTTTTAGTTCATTCATTTCAGAATTAATAGGAGTAAATAGAAAATTTACTATGTCAATAATTATTTTCTTAGTAAATATGTCACTTCAAAAGTGAACAAGTAATTAGGAACAAAGTAGAATAGATTATTCTTCAAATGATTTTGACAATAATAACCTACAAACTTTAAGTTCTCAAATTTTGAAATTGAGATGTGAAAGATGTTAAATTCTTCAGCTTTTCAAAAATCAAGCTCAATTGATACTTCAAGGATATTTTAAGCCATTTTTTATTTTTTTTTTTAACGCAACAGACGTCCTTTTTCCAAACTTTACAATGAGTACCAATATTAATCACAATTTACCGAAAACATTGGAAAAGTCACTTAATCTTCGTCAAAAAGACGAGAAAGGTATACAATTGCATAAGCATACAAGTGTGACCTAGTAGTCAATGAAGTGATTAAGAACTCTAAGATTTTAGGTTCAAAACTCATCGGAGACGAAAAAAAACTAAAAAATAGCAGGACGGCTGTTATAAAGAGGTCATTCTTTCTTGTAAACTTAAGTAGCATATTTTCCCACTAGTTATATATTTTGACATCTTTGGGATCAAGAAATGACTGAAATCTGTTTGGATAGAGTGTAGAAGGAGCAAATAGGTGTGCACAAAATATTTATTCAGCAGACTCATCTATTTTGACATATCAATATTTGAGTGTGTTTTTATACTTCACCGATATCCATTGCCGTCTTGCAAATACTCGTAAACATACTAATCAATTCAACTGTTCATTCGTTGCTGTCACCCATGCATCATAAATTTCATCTGAAAATAGCACAAAGTGTACCTGCAATTATGACAAATGTAAGAGGACACTATTGTAGTTAGCAATCAGCCTAACAGTCAGGACATGATCTTTAAGCATAAAAAAAAATGTTCTATTGTCAGATTAAAGATGGTTTTGGTAACACTATTGTGTTTAAAGAGAGGTACAAAACGGAGCTTATCAGTTTAAATTTGAATAGTATAATAATCATTTGCGGGTGGAAAAAGTACCACATTAGAATGCAGTACTCAGTC